ATATCGAGAACATGAATTCATTTACTTATAATCTTAAAAGGGAAGTTAGCTATGAAAAGAGAAAATTACCTGGAAGAATCCAAATCACAAGAAAGTTCCAGCAACTAATACTCGTCGAGCATCTACTGTATAGCAGCCACTGCTGTAGGTGCAGGGCAAAATGATGTAGACCCTGCCCTCATGGAACATGCTATCCAGTGAAGGGACGAATATCCACAGAAGCATATAGTCACAAACGCACAATTGCCATGAAGGGAGAGTACAGGAAGGGGGACCTAATTTGGTCTACAGAGCCAGAGATGTTCTGACTTAACGATTAAAAATAATGAACTATTTTCCCAGAGGCAATCAAATTTTTTAAAGTATTTAGAGCACTGATTGTACATGCTAAGGGAAAAAAGAATTGACTGAAAATTATCACTAACATCTAGAAATTCCTTTCTAATAAAGGACATAGATGTGTGATTAACTCTGAAATAAGAAAGTATAAAAATAAATGTGCCCTATCAATATCCCAACGATGTTTTTGTGCATCATTTTGTGCATCCGTTTCACACAGAATCTCAAGGGATCCAAAATAGTCAAAACAACCTTAAAAAGGAACAAAGTTGGAGGTCTCGCACTTCCTGACTTGAGTTCAAAACTTACTACGAACTTAAAATAATCAAAACAGTGTGGCACTGGCATAAACACAGATATTTAGACCAATAGAATAGTAAAGAGCCCAGAAATAAGTCCTCACATATATGGTCAAATGATTTTCAACAAGATTGCCAAGTCCATTCAGTGGGGCAAGGACAACTTTTCAACAAATGGTACTAGGAAAATTGGATATCCACATGCAAAAGAATGCAGTTGGACCCTTACCTTACACCATATACAAAGACTAACTCAAAATGTTTCAAAGTCCTACATGTAAGAGCTAAGACTATAAAACTCTTAGAAGAAAACAGGAGAAAAGTCTTATGACACTGGCTTAGCAATGATTTCTTGGATATCACACCAAAAGCACAGGCAACAAAAGAATGATAAATTGCACTTCATCAAAATTAAAAACTTTTGTGCATTAAGGACATTATCAACAAAGTGAAAATGCTACCCACAAAAGAAAGTATTTGCAAACCATGCATGATAAGGGAATGATATTCAGGATCTATATAAAGAACTCCTACAACTCAATAACAAAAACAAACAACTTGATTAACAAATGGGCAAAGCACTTGAATAGACACTTCTCCAATGATATACAAATGGCCCATAAACACAGGAAAAAGATGTTCAACACCATTAATCATTAAGGAAATGCAAATCAAAACCACAAAGAGATATCGCTTCATAATCATTAGGATGGCTACTATGAAAACAAAATCACAAGCGTTGGTGAGGATATGAAGAAATTGGAACCCTTTTGCATTGCTAGTAGGAACATAAAATGGTGCAGCTGTTGTGGAAAACAGTATAGCAATTCCTCAAAAAATTAAACATAGAATTAACCACACAATCCAGAAATTCCACTTCTGGGCATATTAACCAAAAGAAGTGAAAGCAGGCACTCAAATGGATATTGGTACACCCATATTAAGAGCAATATCATTCATGATACCCGAAAGAGGGAAGCAACCAAATGTTCAGCAATGAATGAACAGATAAAGAAAATGTGAAGTATACATATACAACGATATATTAGCAGACATTAAATGAACAGATATGCAAAAAAAAGAAAATTCTGACCTGAAAACATTATGCTACCTACAATAAGCCAGTGACAAAAAGACAAATATTGTATGATTCCCCTCATAATGAGGTACCCAGTGTAGTCAAGTTTACAGAGACAGAAAGCAGAATGGTAGTTGCCAAGGACTAGGGAGAGAAGGGATGGAAAGTTCATGTTTAATGAGCACAGACTATTTCGCAAGATGAAGAGTTTTAGAGATGGAGAGTGGGGAGGGTGATACAAGACTGTGAATGTACTTAATGCCACAGAACTACACATTTAAAAATGGTTAAGATAGTAAATGTAATGTTATTTTACCACAATTTTTTTAAATGCTACACAGCCATCCAGACAACATGCTACGAAATTCCAAAGAGGAAAGAATGATGGGAGATTAGGAAAAGGGATTTGTTTTAGTTAGACCTTGAAGGAATTTGTTAGGGAATAACGGGAAAAGACATTCTAGGCTCTGAGAAGATTCTGATCAAAGGCAGAACTTTAAAAATGTACAGCAAATTGGAGACCTTATAGCAGAATAGCCACCATGTAAACTATGTGGGCAGTTATTAGCTAAATGAGTTCAGAAAATTAGTATAAGTCCAGATCATCGAGGGCCTTAAATATCATGGTGAGGAATCTTGAAGACAATGGAAAACCTTAACAAGTCTGGGGAACAGAGTGGAGTGAGAAATGTACGTTTTGGAACTATGTGAAGAGATGATGAGACGCCACCTTGACTGGGAAGATGGCAGGCAATGGTGTCTTGAAACGGGGACATGGCTGAATGTGTGCAAAGAATGAGACAGGCTCACGATGTTTCAGAGAAAGCAGCAATAAAATTGCTGTACCAAAAACGTATCTTAAATCCACTCATCTCTATTTGCACTGCCCACAGGTTAACCCCGGCCGCCAGCCTCTCTTGACACGACTTCAAAAGCTTGCTGACTGGTCTGTCTGCTGATAGGGCCTTCCTGAAATGTCCCTCCGACTATAACACTCCCCGACAGAAACCTTTCTCTAGCTTGCCACTGCTGTCACAATTAAAACCCCACCTCAGTGCCTCGCCTGCAAAGCTGCGCTGTGCTGTTGCTCCCCGCTCACACCTCAGGGCCCATCACCCTTCCTTTCTCTCTCAATTCCAGCCACTGTCACCTTTCGGCTTCTTGGACACGCCTGGCTCTTGCCCATCTCTGGGCACTTCACTTGCTATGGCTTCTGCCTGGATTGATCCCCCTCACATCTTTGTGTGGCTTCTGATCTGTCAGGTTCCAGTTCCAGTGACTCAAAAGGACTTTTTCTAACCATCTTACCTGAACTAGGGCTCCTCTTAATATCTTCCCTCATAGCACCCAATTCTCAGCACTAATCTCACGATGGCATTTTTAAACTCTTTTTTTGCTGACTTCTAATCCTGAGACCATCTTGTCCATAGCTACAGTCCCAGTATCAAGCAAAGTGTCTGGTGCATAGTAGTCACTCAGTAAATAGGTGTAAAATTAATCAGTGAACAGGAATCGGCCATGAGTACGTATGGGGGAGAGGCAAAGAAAAGGAAAAAAATGGACTCCCACGTTTAGAATTCCGAGTGTTGGGAGAAGAGGCAGAGTGTGACTAAGGTAAGAGCCATAAGCGATGGCAGAAAGTCCCTGGGTAGTGACAAGTCACAGGCGCCACCAGACATCCACGCGAATGCTGCCAAACAGAGGAACTGGGAAAAAACTTCAAACGACAGAAACTTGAAGGTAAACTATCTGTTCTTCAACAGCTCCTAGAATGCCCTTCAATTTGGGGGTGAGGGGAGCTAGATGGAAGGATAATTACATACCAAATTTTCTATAGATAGCTGAAACTGTTTAATTTCACGAAGTGTCTCATTATCTCTTTTCACTTCATTCACATATTGTGCCAAGTCCTAGAGAATAAAGAGAAGGGTACAAAGAGAAGGCACACTAAGATTAGAGATGCAAACTTCTTTGAAAGAAAACACATCATTAATTCCATTAGTGGTAAAAGTAACCACCAGAACTGTTCAAGGACAATAAAATGAACATCCAGTCAATCAAAGCTGCATCTCAAAGGCTATTTAAGAATGCCTGGAGTACAGCTGGGAAGACTGGAGAGTTGTCATTCGCCACACCCCTGAGAAGGGTAAGGATGTTGTCGCCTTAAAAACAAAACAAAATAAGCTGCTATGCAGAGCAATGAAAAGGAAACCGGGTCGGAAGAATGTTAAGTTCCAAGCGTGTTAATAACTGACCTTGGGAGAAATGCACGGGTTACAATAAGGGCAATAGTGAGGGATTAGCAGGCAGACACGAGGAACTGAAAGTTAGACAATGAATCTAGCAAGACTGTTTAATGCAACCAGTTAATGTCTTCTTAGTTCCTAAAAGTATTCACTCAAGGAAGCCGGTTCAATTTTAAAGGGTTAATAAAGGAGAAATAAAGGAGAGGTGAGGAACAAAATAGCATAGAACTAAATTTAATTCATGAATTAAAGTGAACAGAAAACGCTGGCCGTGTCTCTCCATGTGCTTTCACCTATTTTAAAGTGTCTTTTCTTGTATTTGAGGAAACATTAGCTAATCTCTCCATACTGTAACCAGCTATTTTTATTACATGTGCTCCAGATTTTCCTGTTTTCTGAGTTATTTCTTTTTTCTCTACCCTCTTAAATTCAGCTGCAACAGTAGGAACAGAACTCTGCAGAAAGCAGTTCCTAACTTCGTTCTAAATGGAAGTCTGACTTTTCATAAGATGTATCCATAAACAACTTCTTTAAAAACTGGAAACTTGGTATGACTTTTCTATAATAATAAATGTGCGATGTTTCCCGACAGTGGTACCAAAATCAGCTAAACAGCAAAGTTAACACTGAAATCAGTACAGGATGCAGTTAAGGAATTATGCATTGCTCTGAGCAGGGTCACATTGCCATTTTTGTTTTTAAGAACAAATGTTTGCTTATGTTTTAAGTTATAGGCAAATATTATTTCTTTCAAAATCAATTTTATTCAACATAATGTGGAAATTGAGGTTTTATATTAATATATTCCCCCAATATGTTCAAAACACCTGCTTTTATCTACTTGTAGTTCTTGATTTTCAGATTTACGTGAAAATAGAAACTCAAAGTGAAATTCACTTGTATTAGTGCATAGCAACCACAAGGGTAAACCTGGCAGACACCCTCGTATGAGGAAAATAAGTCACACTGGGACTCTCAAGTCACTAGCTGACATACTGCTTATGTAAGCCAACAGTTTTCTATTAGCAATCGTGAAAACAATGTGAGATAAAACTGCTATATAAAATAGTGGTTATGAAAGTTGACATACTGGTGCAAAGGTTATTTTGATACACCTCTTTAAACACCTTTTATGTGTTTTTGTCTAACAGTTAAATCCATGCAAGTATATCTATTCCAGTAAAAAAAGATCCAGCTCTCCCCATCAAAAACAAATGTGTATTATAACATGTTAGCACATCATATATATTTATTAGCAGTTTAAATTCTATTGCTTTTAGGCAACAACAAAACATACAGACAAGTCACTGAGACACATGCCCTACCTTCATCGCATCAAGAGCCAGTTTCAGATTTGCCTTTTCGACAGGATCAGTGGTGTGTTTGACCAGCTCCTATTCGGAAGATATAGTTCAGTGCTACTTTCATCAAATTAAAACTAAGACATAAGAAGTAAAACATGTTCAAAACTAAGCCATTGTTATAATTTTTCTCTCCATAATGTGATAAATCTGATGTAACTAGGCTCCATTCCCTTCAAAAATCTCAAACTGTGAAAAGACCAACTAGACACCAAAAGAACAAGAGACACACTTGGGAATATTTTCCTTTCTAAGACAAATCTGAATTCTATCCCCCACCATTACACTGACACTGCTTCCCAAGTATTATGAAAGATCCCTTAAATGCTAACTGAATGGATAGTCTTTACTCATTATCACATTTGACTTCTCTATAGCTTTTCATTTTCCTGACTGCATCTCTCCTTTCATTTCAGGGACATCAGGGTGGTCTGTTCGTTGTTGTTATTGCTGTTGTTGTTTATTTGTCCATCCTAAATTTCTGCCTATTCATCAGTCTTTCACGGTTTCTTCTTTGTCTGCCTCTTAAAAAGTTATCGTGCCCTACAGTTCGCCTCAGCCCTCTTTTATTCTGATTTTACATACTCTACAAATTCTATCACAACCATTCTCACAATGTTGACCGTCACTTAACAGGGCAATCACTCTCAAATGCATGTGCTCAACCCAGGACGCGCACCTGAGTCCCACATCACACATGCAACTCAACAGTTCCACCTGGGTATCGCAAAGGCTCCCCAAATCCAACGTGCCCAAAACTTAATCCATCTTCACCCAGAACCCTGCTCTTGCTCCTGTTTATGTTTTATTGAATGATGGCATTTCCGTCAGTATACTCACTTAAGCCAAAACCTGAAAGGTGTCCCTAACTCCTCCCCCTCCCCTCTCCCTATGTCCCGTTGACGTTAATGTTGATCCTGCCCCTTGAAACCAACCTCACTGCCACTACTCAGGGTCAGATGCTCGCCCTTATTTAAACAGGTGATCAGAATGAGCACCTAATTGATCTTCTGACTTGCAGCCTCTCCTCATATAATCCATTCATGATGTTGACATCAGAGTTAGGTTTCTAAAATGTAAATCGGATCCTGGCTCCACCCGATTTAGGCTTCTGTGATGCTCCACCGAAGCTCTGGGCTGCACCCATCCCTCTTTGACTCTTTGTGATCTGAATTCTGCAAACTTCTCAATTCCTCTCCCCCCACTTCCACCCAAATAATCTATATTCTACTCATACTAACTTAATCATAATTTCCAAAATATGTTCTGATATCTAATCCCATTAGAAATGTCATTTCTCTCTCCTTAGAAAGCTCTTCCTCTCTGATCCACCTGTCAAATTCTTACTCTCCTTTCCAAGCCCAGCTCAAGAATCTCTCCTCTGGGAAGCCTTCTCTGACAGAGGCCTCTGCTCAAGTCCTTCGCCTTCTTAGGGTACAATTATTTAGGCCTTTGTTTGCACCACCTCTGCACCTTCGTAACACCTATTGTGTTATGCTGGAGAGCTTACCCTTCATTTCTCCCTTCTAAATGGTGACTCTATCAGTATAGGGGCTGTGTTATTGATATATCATGAGTGCCTAATGCTGTTTGGCACAGGGAAGACCCTCAAAAAATACCACTGGTGTTTCTTGCTGTAAATAGGACTGACAGAGAATTATTAAGTGTAATAAATCTGTTGAAATTCTATTCTTTTATTTCTATTTTTACTTTTACTTTATTAAATAAAAATAGTAAATTATTCTTAAAGTTTCTAATCCCTCACTAGAAAATATGCTGTTTATAAATTTGTGCTTTCAGAACAAAGCATTTCAAGTGATTTCCCTACTTTAGTATAGTAAGTAGAGAATGTCCAAATTTACAACCACATTTGTTCTACAAATTTCTACACACCAGAAATATAAGTTTTACTCTATACTATTTTGAGATGGAAAACCATTTCTAGTATTTTTATCTATGTGTGTTGTCCAAAATAAGACTTTTCCTATTTTAAAAAGTCATCATGGAATTAAACATACGTTTTAAATTTAAAATACAAAACAACTCGAGAAATTAGGGGGCAAAGTTCACTGACTTTTTCAAAAGTATAGTCATTTTATACTTTTATAAGTCTGTGCAGAACCCCATAAGGACCAAAATAGATACTTCTTAAAAATTGCACCTTCTAAATTCTTCAATCAATATTTAACTACACTGAAGTAACAAAATAAATTATTATATTATTTTGGACATGTTTTTAGTTCCAAGATGCCTTGGAAACTGACTGCCTAAATCTTCCTTATTACTTTTTCATAAAATCCAATTTGATTAAGTTGCTCTGAGTTTAGGTCTCATAAATGTTTTAATGCATTTTTAAGGAATAATCACGGTTTGAATTTTTCTGATTTCTCAGTAGAACGAAAACAGAGATGACTAATAATTTTGCAGCTACAGATGTACAAAGCACAGCAGTCTCAAAATTATATTTCACATACAGGTAGTAGATCTTTTTAAAATGACATTTCACAAGCATCAGCAGAGTTGACAGACTAATACAGTAAGACATTTCTTTGGAGCCGAACTAATGAGTCTCCTGGTATAGCTATCAAATTAAATTTATAAGACTCTCCACCCTCATTAGAGGACTAACTGTGGAAACCATAAGCTTTGTGGGTTATAACAAGAATCACTTCAAAATAAATGTAGTCTTATTATAATTTAGTACAGTAGACAGCAATATGGAATGTGACACAATTCTCTTTAATTTACTGCTATAAAGCAAAAGATCTGATATGATTAATCTGCCAGAATTCAGATGCATCACAACACTGAAACGCTAATAAATGATTACTTCTAACTATAGAAGACATGGTTGAAAGGATGTTTTGTTTTGCGTTGTTTTGTCTATATTTTTTGTTAGCAAGTCCTATTTGAAAGACACAAAATGTGACTTGTGGCAGATACAGAAACATCTTTGCTACAAAGAAGAAAAATTCTCAGCTGTTCTGTTATTTCCCACTTAGCTATAATAATAATTCAAAATTTTAAGGGGATAGGGCCCAAAACATGGAGGATCCATAACACATGTGATAGTTCATTAATATTTTGTAAAATGAATAAATGAGCAATAAACAAATAATCTTAAGTTACATACCTGAAGGAGAAGGTGATACTTTAAAACACGTTGCATAGGAACCACAAGCAAATCTCGAAGAGTAAATTTCCCATTATTTGCTCTTTTGGAACATTCCTAAGGAAATGATTTTTAAAAACTTGTAAAAAAATTTTGTCAGTTTTCTCAAGGGGAGTCATAAACATTAAAAAGATGCAAAGGCCTAAGCAGAACTGTTATTACACAAAAAATATTTCACTGTTTTCCTTAACAATATTTCTCTCTAGAGAGTATCTTCAATTAAAAAAAAAAGAAATCTTATAGTATTTTAACTCCAAATATGGAATCTAATAGAACTATTTTATGTATGAAAATTATTTTCTCCACTGCAAAACTGTGTCCCTTCAGGGTCTTCCTCAGCTTACTACTACAGTTGTATCTTCCACCGATCTCCCCCAGTAGGCTTATGGGCCAGGCATCAAGAACACATCCCTGCTCAAACCTGCCACGAACCTTCCCACCCTTGTGCCTTGGTTTATTCAGTTCTCTCCAACTCTCTCTCCAAAGCCTGTGCTTTGTCCACCCTCTAGCACAATTCATCATCCTCTTTAAGAACTGTATTTCTAGGCCTTTATTAATAAACCCAATCAAAACTGTTTTCTCTCTCTCTGCCTTGTGGGGGTCTTTAATTATTTGTGTACATACCTTTTTTTCTTTTTTTAAGAGACAGAGTCTCGCTATATTGCCCAGGCTGGAGTGCAGTGACACAATCATAGTTCACTGTAACCTCAAACCCCTGGGCTCACACAATTCTCCTGCCTCAGCCTCCCGAGTAGCTGGAACTACAGGTGCACACCACCACATCTGGCTAATTTTTCTATTTTTTTATTTTTAGAGATAGGGTCTAGCAGTGTTGCTCAGGCTGGTCTTGAGCTCCTGGGCTGAAGCAATCCTCCTGCCTCGGCCTCCCACAGTGCTGGGATTATAGATGTGAGCCACCATGCCTGGCCCATAGTATCTTTTCCAGCATATTTTGCCCTTTATCCCTCTAAGAATCTACCATTTGCTTAATAAATACTTATTGAACTGAAGGAAATGGAATGTTTGACTCTAAAAATTTGCTAAAGCATAAACCTATTAATGAACTCCAAGTTTTTAAAAGCCTTAGATTTTATTTTTTTAATCTCACATTCTTTCTTAAAAGTTTACTTAAAAATAGTATTCACTTGTTCACTCTTTTGACAGTAACTATGACTTTGAGGAAAGTACTTTGAAGTGTCAAAGCATGAATTTAAAGCTAAGGCTTGACAACTCACAGTTGTGTGATTTTGGACAAGTCACTTCTCTGATTTTACTGTTTCTCATATATCTGCAGTGCTGTTCAAAACACTAACATGCCCTACAAACATTATTTTTACTGAGCAACCTAATTTTAAAATCCTCACACAATTGCACATCCTAGCCCAAAGACTCTTTCAGTTCATGGAAGGAGGTGTGATTAAGAAAATGCTCTTCGTTCACAAGTTTGTTTCCCCTTTGGCCACACTTAGCTTTTCTGCACATAGAATGATATATTATCAGGAGCCATTAGGCAAACACCATTAACTCTAATGACCACAGTGACTTAACGAGTGTGTCTGACTCTAGATCTTAGGCAAAATGAACTGGGGACACATCCTGACATATTAGCTTGTGTCTTATCAATTACTGCGGTTCATCAGAATGGTAACTATTTCAACTGATTTTTTGCTTCTACAGATTGTAGAGAGTTCTGGATCACGAGTCTCAAGCAGGAGGTTAAACTGTTAATATTACTGTAATGAGTGGGTCTTATCTCCCTGGCTGCATTTTAAGGTCCTTGGAAGTGAAGTTGTAGCTTACCCTTCTTAGGTTGTGCCATCCCAGCATAGTGTTAGGGACAGAAATGCTATGCATTTGAAATTTACTATGTTATAAAAGTTAGTTTCAAATTGTTGGGAAACAATTAGTTCCTTTAAGTTCTAAGTTACAGGCTCAGGAAGTAAAGAAAACAACCTTGCTGGCATTAGCTAAATCTGGGGGCTGGAGACTGAGGTGTAAAATGCTTAAACGGATTGAAAGTAAACAGGTAGAAGTAATTCTTCTAAAAATATCCGGTCACTTTCTTAGCTTCAACTCAATTATAATCAAAAATAAAATAAAATGAGGTCAGACAAGCCAGGCTTACAGGGCTAGATAAAGAGACTCTATCACCCTTCACCCCATGTTATCTTGGTTCCAAAATAGAAGAGAAAAAGACAAAAAAATCAACAAGAACAAAAATAACTACAAAACAGAAGACACAAAGAAGGCAGAGAGACACCGAGACGAAGGCAACCATCCCCTCCATCACACCGGGACTTGCAGGAGGTAGTTCCAACTGAGTATTTGTTGAAGTGTGACGTTAAGTATCCGATCAAATACTTCAAAATCAGGCCTGTGGTCAGAAGTACGGGCTTTTAAGCTGAGGAAAGGACAGCCAGCAGCACCTCACCCTGCACCTTTCTAACTCAGCCTGAAGTCCTCTCTGTCCCCAAGACTGACAGTGACTGCAGAAACTGAGTACTTAGAGTCCCAGAGTACGGGCACTGGGCAGAGCCTTCACCACAACTCTGAAAGGAGGAAGAGGAACATTCGGACGAGGCTGAGAATATAATGCAGGCGTGACTCACACTCGCTCACTCCTCTCTTGAACCACGATTTTATATCTTTTTTTTTTTTAATGCTTTAATGGTTACTCTATTAGGAATTAGATGTATGAGTTGCAAAGTTTTATTTTATCATCATATTTTAATGAGTCAAGGAGGCTTACAGGTCTGCACTTAAGAGGCTCTCTTCTCCAAAGAGAAGCAGGAACACCTTGCACTGACAATGCTGGGACTCAAACTACCTCCAGTCTTAAGGTCAACATCATCAAGGGATACTATGAGGCAGAGAAAAAAGATCCATGACATAGATTTAGTGCCTTTATTTGGTTACCTGTTAACATGCAAGCTTTCTAAGCAATGATTTCCCTTTGTGGGAGTTACATGAGGTATGAAATCATACCAGATAGCTGAAATGATGAAGGATGCTGATTTGAAAATCATCTGCCCCTTCTTCCCTGCTCATCCCCTGACCTTACTGCTCAACTGAACAACGAATTGGAAAAGGGATATTGAAGAGTCAAACAAGCCACACAGTCATTGAACAGCTGACTAGGTACCTCTGCCTGAAATTTAAGAAAACCTAAACACAAGGATAATACATTTAAGATGATAATTCAGTCCCACCAACAGTGGATGAGTGTTCCTATCTCTCTGCATCCACACCAACATTTATTATTTTGGGACTTCTTGATAAAGGCCATTCTCACTGGAGATAAGTGATATCTCATTGTGGGAGGGGGGAGGAGGGGACGGGTATATGCATACATAATGAGTGCAATGCACACCATCTGGGGGATGGACATGCTTGAAGCTCTGACTTGTGGGGGAGGCGGGGTTAGGGCAACATCTATTACCTAAACATCTGTACCTCCATAATATGCTGAAATAAAAAAAAAAGATGATAATTCATAGAACAATCATTTTTCAAAAGTTCTTTGAAAGTATGAACTCCTCTTGTGAAAAAAACATATCTGGGGTACAAAAACGTATGACTTAACACATTTCCAAACTTATTTTCTGTTGTGACCCTGTGCTCTGTTTACACTGGCCTTCTTGCCATTTCTCAAACTTTCCCGACTCTTCTGGTCAAGACATGCCAATTCTTCCAGAATTCTCTCCATGGATTCTAGCCATCAAAGCTTTCCCCTAACTCAAATGTTGCCTTTTCAGATAAATCCTCCACACCTACCCACATCGAAGTGGGCAGATTCAATCGTACTCACAGAGTCCTGTCACATAGTGCTGACCTCATGCTACTTAATCTCCTTCTATTTGTGTTTGTCTTCTCTTCCTTCTCATGGGTAATATCCATGTCCTTTTTAAACATCTGCCCCTAAGGGTCTTACAATTTTAGTAAACATTTTAAATCTACATATACATTATCCAACATCTATGCCACTCATCCTACACCTCTTACTACCTGGGAAAATTACTCATAATCTCTCTAAATTTCAGCTTTCTCATCAATAAGATGAGAAAATTAATTGTATATATGTCACAGAGTCAGGAGGACCTAATGAGATAACACATGTAAAACACAGGACCATAAATATTACGTGTTACTATTGTTATTACTACCATATTACTTTATAGAGCTATCCCTTAAAATATTTTATAAAATTGGCAGGAGATTATATTGAGAATATATGGAGAAATGTACTGTTGCATTGACCACAAAGAGGAACATGTTGCTTTTAGGCTTATTTTACTTTATGTCATTAACAAAAAATAAACAAGCACCTCTAATTTCAGTTTGACATCTTCCTTTGTCTTAGAAATGTAGTCTAAACTAGAGATGGCCAACTCCACTCCACTGCAGTACTGCCCATAAATAACCAACCTAAAAGGGAAAAAGACAGAAGAAGAAATCTGTAAGAAAAAAAGCAAGAAGGAAGTAGAGGGGGAAAGAGTCAGAATCTCCAACTCTTCAAAACCAGAGTTAGGGATAATCAAAGCAGTAGTAGAAATTCTTAATACACATCATATATGTAAGTCATAGAATGAGTCGCTTTTATACTAGTGACTAATTTTTAGTTTCAAATTTCAATGGAATTCCATGTACATTTTTATAGCAAATAGATTTTATAAACTGGCCTTAATGACAGTTGATGTTAGTATATATATGTATCTCAAAAACAAAATTAAAAATTTCTGTTAAAGCTCTTATCAAAGATAAACTTTTTTACTGTTTACTCACACTCAGAAACAGTTTTATTTTCTACTACAATTTTATTGCAATCATTACATATGACTCTACTCATTAATAACCTCCTACACTTCTTCCTACTTTTTAATTAAGGAACATACATCATCTGAAAATGGGAATTAGAGGTCTGAACTGTGCTGGAGAAAAGATAACTCATATGGCACGGAGTCTGAGCCACTTCAGGAATGGTGTCTCTGTAGTAATACAAACATTTTACAAAGAGCCTCGTTGGTTTATTTTTTCTCTTAACTCTCCACTGGAAAAAACTACCAATAAGGTGCTAATGTCTATCTAAGAGTTGACACAAAGCAATTCATTGGCCACTTCTTAGTTGGTACTAGAAACTATATTGCTTGATTTAAAAAGAGAATGATATTTTAAGTGAAATTGCTTGATACTCCTATTTATGGAGTTCTTCAAGATTTTTTCTCCCCAAATTTAGGAAGGGAAATTGACTTTATGAATCAAATACTTTAAAATAGAGAATCATAAAATATTACAGTTGGAAGAAGCATTAGGTATCAGCTAATCCACCCCTGACATTTACAAAATGGGAAATGGCAGCTGAGAAATCCTCCATTGTAAAAGTATGAGCACCATACTGGATCCTTTTTCTTCCCTTTTTGCTTCCCTTTTTTTCAGATACAAGGTCACACCACTCTGTCCTGTTGCTCAGGCTAGAGTGGCTGGAGTACAGTGGCACAATCATAGCTCACCCCCTCGAACTTCTGGGCTCAGACGATCCTCCCACCTCAGCCTCCTGAGTAGCTGGGACTATAGGCACACACCACCACGCCCAGCTAACCTTTTTTTTTTTTTTAATGCATATATAGAGCTCAAACTACTACCTGAGATTTACTGTCCCAGGTTCTAATTACAACCCAGGTAGTACTGTAATGAACAGTAGCTACAGCTATTTATTAGCCATTCTAATATTAACTCTTACTATCACTATAAACTAAGACCCACAAAACTTAAAATTTAAATGTTACCTTTCCTTGTAGTTAATAAAAACTTGATACAAGTTCTGGTCATTTTTATTTACAATGGAATCATGAATCTCTTGCATTAGGTTCCGATGAACTTTTACAAGTTCCTTAGGAAAAAAAAAACAATGTGAAAGGAAAGTAGGAATCAGAACCAAAAATACGCCCCAAACCCAAAACCTCTGTTGTTGCTAGACTTGCCACTCAGGATATGCTGAATATTCTCCATATATAAACCTGCCACCACCAATAAAGACAGGAGGACGGGCATATGCACAAACAATGAATGGACAGGCATATGCACAAACAATGAGTGCGATGCACACCTCCGGGGGAACGGACACACTTGAAGCTCAGACTTGAGGGGGAGGGAGGGTAAGGGCATCATATGTAACCAATCATCTGTACCCCCATAACATGCTGAAATGAAAATAAATAAATAAATAAATAAAAAGATAGGAGGAAAAGGAAGGGGAGGAGGAAGAAGAGGAGGAAGCAGAGGGAGAAGATAGGGAAGGAAGGAAGGGGGAAGAAGGGGTGGGAAAGAAGGGGGAGAGAAGAGAAGGAAGATGAGAAGAAGGAAAAGGAGTGGGGAGAGGAAAGAGAAGGGAAGAGAGACAGCCCTGACTTGAAATGTCAGTGTCCTGTGAAAAAAAAATTATCTCACTAGTTATTAAAAGATAATTCATTCCTTATATAAAAACATGTCCAGCTCATTTTCATTTTATAATCACTGTAAATTTTTAAATAAACTTTATTTAAAACTTTGCTTTATTGACAGGATAAAGTAATGATTCATGTCCTTGTGACATAGAAATGTAGATTTGTACTTTGGTCAATTAGTGGTGTCCTGGTGCTAAGCTAATAATAATCAGACTAAATTACTTGAAACCAGGCAACTAATGGCATAAATAAGAAGCAAATAAATTGTACTAGACTGTTTACTAGAGCAACTCAAAGTCAGAATTTCACAGTTTTCCTGATAAGCAAGTAGCTTTCGGTCAGGCAATGAGGAAATGTGATCAAGGTGCTCATTCCCCCATTACCTCTTCCTGTGTACCCTGGAGCACACATTGACTCCACACCGTGTTCTTTCCTAGGTGGGGTGCAAATTAAACATGAATATGTTGGCCCTGTCATTTTGCTGAGGAGTATGGAAAAGCCGTAAGAATAAGGACTGTCAAATGGGTTCTAAGTTACAGTCCGTACTTTAAGTGGTTTAAGATCCCTGTCCTCCTAGAATGTCCAGTTTGTTTTATTCTAAACCTTCACCTGACATTGTTAGCATTTTCTTCCTGGTATGTTATAAATCAGTGAGAATGTCTTCATTTGGTCAAAATCAGGGATAAGGACAGCACACTCATCAACACAGAACACAATAGAATCAAAATATAAGCGATTTCTCAGGTGACACAAGCAACCCTGCACATAAAAACTTATATACATGTAAGTGTATGTGTGTGTGTGTGTGTATGTGCGTGTAAACCAAAGCAAGTTCTAGAGGTCTAAGAACTAGAATTTTGCCTAGCATTACCTCACTAGGCATAGCATTTAGCTTGTTTCTATGATTTCTGGGCAAATACCCTTTCAGTATTGTAAGATTCTGATAAGGTGCCCTAAAACTTGAAATGCTTACATAACTGTGAAAAACAATCTTCAATTTTATCATTAAGATAGTCTGTTAAATCCTGAAGAAGTAGTCTATTTCATAAATGGTAGTTTAAAGCTGATACAACTGGGAGGAGAAAGCACCAAAGAGCAGAGGCCAAAGTAGGGGGATCCAATGGAGTTGGACAGTGGCTGTAAGACAAGGTTTGAGGGGCTGGAGGAGCAACAGGGCAGGCAAGCGTGGGGCAGAAGGGGACCCCAGAAGACAAACAGGTGGTAACATCAAGGATTATTTAATTGAGACTGCCTCTTCATGCCATACAGTTAAGGATAGCACATGAATCTTGTTTATCCATTTGTGTTCTGCATGCATTTTGAATGACTTTTTACTGAACATACGACATAGTTATTTCAAGAAAATAATGATAGAAGAACTGGGGAATCAAAAAAACAAGATCAAAATTCTTAAAGAAGAGGGTCAAAACAGGGATCTGGAACCCACTAAGAAAATGAAGATTTTATAGAAGTACGCCACAATTTTGGCTAGCATATTTTTACTTACAGGAATGTTGATAAATACTGAATCAAATTCTGCTGCTGTCAGAAATCTTTTCAGTGGTGCCATGAAATACTACCAGGAGAGAAAAGAGAAGTAATAATTAATCTATATAATAGTTTTTCATCAACAAACAATATTTATTGAAAGTCAATTGTTTATCAGCATTATAAATACCAAAAAAAGTAGAAATTTCTTTATCTTAAAGATTTTATACTTGAACAGATATAAATACATAAATACAAGCTGGTACATTTCAAATATAAAATAAAAGGTTAGACAACAAACGCTTCCATAAGAAGGAAGAGAACGCTATTGGCTGAGTTAGCAAACAATGGCAACCTTTGTAGATATATCTGAGGACTCAAACAAAACATCCTCCAAATACTTTGTGGAGATTATAGATTACTGAGATCAATAATCTGTTCATGCAATTTATGGATCATTCCTTGAGAATTTTAGTTCCTGGCCTATCATTTCTCTCTCATTATCTGTGCAGATGATCCTTCCAGCAGAGCCTGGCCTCTCAGTTCCGTGACCTTCAATAATCTTATGCTCCACCCTATCTCACCTCCCAAGGCTCATGGTCATACCCCAAGACCTTGTCATTATCAACACCTGCATATGCTCCATAGCACTAATTTCAAGCAACCAACTCTCTGACCACTACCTCCTACCTTCACAGCTCATTCCCTCAAGGACTTCTTCAGCCATACCTGGTCTGCCACGCCGCTGACCAGCTCACTTCCCCCACGTTCCTTATGTCCCTCCTTACCCACTTTACAACTCCATGAACCACCATCAGAGTCATTTCCCTGCATTATACCCTTATCCTCCCTTCTTCCACTGTGCTTTTCTAGAAAAACTAAAACCCTGGTAAAATCTAGCTTGCCACATATTTTGTGTCTGTATCTAAGATGTTACGCATGGACTACACTGACAGTCTAATTTTAAATATGACCACAAAACTCAACTGGGCCTATAATGCTACATAGCCCTATTATATTTCCCTAATTGATTACTCTCCTACTCTCCTGAAGAACTCTTCCACACCTTCATCTTTTTGCCTAAACTTCCAAAACTTTCTCCTGGTTCTCGTTTTCCTAACTTGTAAATATGGGAGTCACCGGGGGTGGCCTCAAACCTCTTCCCTAATAACATGCATCCCCTAGGGTGAGCTCATTTAGTCCCAGGCCCTTAATGCCATTATGCAATGATAATGGCTGAATCTATATGTCAATTCAACCTTTCCCCTTAATGCCAGGCTCGTATCTAACAGCTTCCTCAACATATCCCCTTGGAAGTCTAGCAGGTATCAGCAATTTAATATGATCGAACAGACTTATGATTCCCAAACCTGTCCATCCCCATCTCTGTAGCCACCTTTGCCATTCATTTGGCAGTTGCTCACGTCGAAACCTAGCAGTCATCCTTGATTCCTCTCCTCTCACTCATCCTTTACTGAATGCGTCCCCCAATCAGTTAAATCTACTTTTAAAACTTATTCGGAATCTGACCGCCCCTCAGCACCTCTATCGATACCACCATTTGTCATCTTGATTACTACAATAGCCCTCTAATTTTTCTCCCAGGTTCCTCGCAAAAGCCAGAATTAGATGTTCAATACGTAAATCACATCGTGTCACTTCTGCTCAGAACGCTCTAGCTTCTGGTGGCCTGCATGACCTGGTGGCCCACAGGCTGGCCCACCCCACTGCTCACTCCCCGCCACCTGTTCTGCTCCAGCCATGCTGGACCGCTGCTGCCCCTTGGAGCATGCTCTGAACACTTTCCCATCTGAGGGCCTTTCTCCCAGAAAGTATCTTCACGGGGATATTTAAGTGGCTTGCACCCTCGATTCACTCAGCTGTCTGCTCACTCTTGTCTGAGAGGCCTTCCATTACCACTCTATATAACCTGCCACCAGCCTCCCCCACCATCCACCATCCCCTTTCCCTGCCTTATTTGTCTTCAGATAACTTATCACCACCTGGCATACTTATCTGCTTACGTTCTAAAGCTTCCCATGAGAGAGAAAATGCCTTGAGAACCAGAGTTTTGTTTTGTTAATATTTACTACTACAGCCTCAATCCCTAAAACAGTATCATTCAGATACCAGAACATCAATAAATAAATACTGTGGAATGAATGAATCTGCTTTGAGGTCTTTAAATACAAAGTTTTATTAAAAATTAGAAGATACACACATTTAGCAGAAACAGCGAGTCTAATATATTAACTACATAAGGCTGTATTTGAGCATCAAGAATAATACCTGATGACTTACTTTTTCTATCGACTCCAAAGTTTCTGTATATTTTTCTTCTGTCTGCTTAATTTCTGCTAGGCAACAACTTCGTATGTCATTTTCTGGACATTTCTGCCGTTAAGATTATCAAAATAAAATTATTTAATCAAATTCATACATTAATCTAGCTGGCAGTAGACATAAAGAGATATGAAGTATTGCTTATTTTCTTAAACTTTCCATTCTAATGAAACACATAACTGAAAGATAAAGTTAACTGCATTTGTGAAGTATCTTTGCTTTTGTTTAAAATTTTGAACAATGTAAAAGAAAAGGTTTTAGATGATTAAAAACAAACTTCTGAGTATAGGCTTTCTCTTTAAATTATAATACATTTTATTAAAAATGTTAATGAAACTGGAAACACCATAAATGGCATAGGATTTCCTTAATATACAGTACACTTCACAAGTGTCATAGAAATAACTGCAAAAATAACAAAAAAAGATATTTGGTAAGTAAAAACCTTCAAATTATTTTTAAAACATTAACATCTTACTGTTTGGCTCTTTTACTAAGTGTGTAAGATTGGAGGTGGTCAAGCATAGTACTAAAATCAAAGATTCTGGAATACGATAGAATCAGGGTCAAGTGCCAGTTTTGTTGTTATTAGCTTTGTTTGTGACTGTGAACAAATTACTAAATTTCTCTATGACTCAGTTTTCTCATCTGTAAAACAGGGAGAATTATAGTAACAACTCCAAGGAATTGTAAATGAGATAAAACAGTGTAAAGCACTTAGCACCTTGCCAAGTGCCCAAAAGGGCCCATACATCAAAATATTATTGCTCCTAGCCCTGTCCGCTGCGTGAAGACTGTCGCTGAGTGAAGACAGCTGTCCTGTGGAGACACTGAGGAATCTAATGGCACCAAGAGCAGATAACAAATACGGGAGGTATAGCTGATACCCTGTCACCTAAAAATGCTCTGGAAATGCTGCCACAGACAGCATGTCAGCTCCTGCAGTGGGATAAAGCACTTTCATTGTATTTACCAAACACAGGCAGGTAATTTGTTTTCATACCACAGAAGCTACTGCTGCCCTTCTGTGGCGCTGGACGACCCACCAGCCTTTTATCAAAGGCAGGAGCACAGAGAGCCGAGAAAATTCATCAGAGCCATGAAGAAACCTAAATCGCCACCCAGCTGATGAAGACTCTTTGGTATAAAAGAATACATTAATAAAAACCAGAGCCACTGACTTTTTTGATTTCAAATTACAGATGAGAAAATAATTCAAAGTTATTCTTTCTGAATGTTCTAGATATTTTAATGGCAAATAAAAATTTGAGGGCTCATATTGACTATGACAATATATAAAACAAAGTTTATGAAATAGTAAAAAAGCTAGGAGACTTATAATGAAACAAAAGGGTAAAAATATCTCATATCAACACCTAACAACTGTGTTAAATATTCTTTAATATATATTTTCTCTTACATCGAATTTAACGGAAGAAATCTACCTGTTTTGTAAAAGATTTAGTTTCATAACAGTATAATTTCAAGATTCCCTAAAATTATATTCTATTATCATTTGCCATTATTTAGCTGGGTGGCGTGTCATTTCTCTCCCAGACTTGGTTTCCTTACCAGTACAAAATGAAAAGATTAGACCAGAGATTCCCTATGGTTGTTTTGAACTGTAAAATACCATGCTTAGGTCTCCAAATGTAATAACAAGTCATAGTTAGACAGTTATAAGCAAGAAAAGATAAAACAAACAAAACCATTCAGCAGAGGTTACAAAAATAATTACATTAATCTTTCAAGTAATTGCTCTCCTAATAAAATACTCAGAGTAACTTAAAAAACAAGCAATAGTCCTACAGGTTGATGTGCTTCCTCTGCTTTCATTAAGTCCTCATAGACCTCTCCTCCTTCATCTTCCCCATAAACACAGTCATAGAGATCTTCCTCGTCGTCCACACGGGTTTCACTAAAATAAAGGATACAATATGAAGGTCATTTTCTATTACGCAGTAAATTCACTGGGCAGTTACTATGTGTAAGCACATAATTATGCTGCATATATTCTCTCTCTTAATTCATCTAGCATTAATTGTCTTATCAGGTACGCATTACTATTTGATCCATTAAAGAGATGAGGAAGTTGAAAGACCAAAAGGTTATTTGGCTTGCCAAAGATGACACAGCTAGTCACAGGCAGAGCCAAGATTTAGAACCAAGTCCGTCCTGCACTCTGAGTGTAAGACGCCACCTACTGTCCATATGCCAAGACCTCAGTTTCATCATCTGTATTACAGGGTGTAATACGGAGAAGACAGGAGAGTTAAGTAGTATCTAACATGTCATAAATGATCTTTTTAAAGCAGCAGTTCCTACAGGTTATTATCAACAACTAATCCAGTGGTTTTCAAACCACGCTCCTTCAAGCCCATGCAGAGGGTACCCACAGGTCCCCCGTCAGCCAGACCCTTCTTTTATCTGTTTTATTTGTTTACATTTGGTTTAAAGAAAGAGCCTCAAGGCCACAAATATTTTTAAAATTAAAATACTCTGCTAATGTCCTCGGCATGGAAAATAATACCTATTTCTAAAGCTTCCATGAGCACCTCCATAGTGACTGATTGGAGTATCTTCCCCAAGCCCCTCACATGAAACTGTAAACTCATTCAGTCACGGTGGGAACAGCTTGCTCCACCCACTACTGACATGCTCTGCTACTACTCAAGTTCCTCCTTTCAGTTCAAGACATTTATAAATGCCTTCTATTAACTAATAGTTCCGAAATTGAGATTGACCAATTTAGAATGTTGGAAAGAAGCATTAATATTAATATCTCTGAGAAAGAAATTCAGCTTCTTCAATATTGTCAGCTCTTATCATCTCTCCTGGGCCTGTGCAGACAGAACATTATAAATTGATATGTACAAAAATAAAAACACTGTAACTGTAAATGTCACTCTGCAACTCGGAACATTTTTCAAAGTAAGTACAATCACCAGGTTGTTTATGTTTGCCGTGAAGGATTATTTGAAGGTACTTGGCAGGAATGAACTGCCAAACACCTGGAGAAAAGGAAGATATATAAAGAGGGAGGGATCTAGTGGTAACAAAAGTTTCAGAGACCTCTGCTCTGAGAAGAATTCATTACAGAATTATTTGTCCACCCCCTACCCACTCAACCATCCATCCATTCAACAGACATTTACTAAGAACCTACTAAGTTCCAGGCTCCTCGGCGCTAAGAATATATAAATCAAGAAGACCCAGAAACTCTGCCATAGTCTAGTGCGAACAGCAGCATGTAACATAAACGCATAATTCTCTACATGCAACAAAAGAGATGAGTGCAAAATACAGAAGCAGAGAAAAGAGTGAGCATAACTCTGACCGAAGAAGTCAGGGAAGACTTCACAGAAGATACCACTTCTGAGCTGGACCTTGAACATTTTTAAATATGTCAATTAATTCAATAGGTATTTTCTGTAAAAGTGTTGTTCCAAGAGATGTGGCTACAGACCATGGCGACAGACTTTCTGCTCTCACAGAACTTAAAGCCTAGCAGGGGTGACACACACCGAACGAGGACAGGAAAAGGGCAGTCCAGATGAAACACACCAACATGTGCAAAGGCAGGGGTATGAAGAGCCTTGGCTCCCCACTCGGCGGGGCCAGGGGAGTGGGGTGGACCCCTCAAGGGAAGAGTTGAAATCAACTGTAAAGGGCTATGTACTCCGGGAGCCACCCTTTACCCCGGGCATCGGGGAATCAGCAGAGGGACTACAGCGGGTAGTCGGGTCGGGGGAGATCAGTAAGCCACACAGTAAAACGCTGTGGGTGAGAGACACTGAGAGCCCTGACTAGGGTATAGGCAGAGGAGCAGAGGACAGAGAGACTTGGGATGCTGTGACCCATCGGACTCGGTGACCCATCAGAATTAGGGAGAGCGAGGGAAGGAGGGAAGGAGGGAAGGATGACGCTCAGATATCTACTTGGAAAACGAGGGAGACAGCAAGCCTATTGGCAGTTCCCCAGCTTCCATAGTGAGGCTTTTAGGCAGGCAATCTGGCCAGAGAACGGTGGGGCAGTTAAACTGGCTTGAGCATCTTCTGCAACACATCAACGGACAGGACGGTCCGGTGAGTCCGTGGGGGAGCTAACCAGGGTATCACAGGTTCCACGTTGGAGGGGATCCTGCGCAGAAGAAAGCTAGAATGCGAAATCCATTTCTCTGGTACTCCTGATCCCAGCACTCTTGCCTCTGACCCCTACCCCCACTCCCCAAAACACTCAGTCTTGTGAAGTCCTGCATCTGACTATCTCCCGTGAGAGTAAACGCACAAATTGCATAAATTCATAACTTTTCTCAACTCTAAGAACCACAGGAGTGACACACCTGTGAGCGTATGTACACATGCGCACACACACACACACACACACACGCACGCACACACACACACAACTGGGCTAGAACTGTTTGGGATTCATTATTCAAACCTGTGCTAAAGCTGCTTTTCTTGCTAACAGTTTGGTCAACAATTTCTTATTTCTGAACCAGGGAAAAAAGGCTGTGATATTCTTCAAATGGTCAATAAATCAACAATAATCTATATTAGATTGATAATAATCATGCTCAGGCTCCATGGGCGAGTCTGATGCCCTGACAATGAAAGCAGGAGAACGGAGGGTACTGTACCGTTCGGCCATCTGTCATCTCCACTCCGCCCTGTGTCTTTCTCTCTAACACAGCAAAGAATGATTCTCTCTGCAGTGGGGACCAGGCTGATGTTTGTCACAGGGGCTTCCCTTCGGGTGAATTCATCCCCAAAAGTTAGAGTTAAGTACATGAGCCCATAGAGATTGTAACAAAGTGAAGACTAAAAATCAAGCTGTCACAGAAAACCCCAAAGCAAGCTTTTCCAGGGTAACACCACATTTGGACCCTTGACCACCAGATGGAACAGTAAGGCAGACTGCACCTCGCAGAGCACGAGCTGGTATCTCAGAGCAGCCAATTCAGGACCCTAAAGTTTTCTCGAAACTTAGAGAGGAACGCATCCTCACAGGATTTATTCTGACATCAACTCTGCCTAGAAACACCCATAAACGGAACAATATAGGGGAGGCTATAAAAATTAATCTGTGTACATGACCACTGATGAGGTTTAAAAAAGAACAATGTCATCGCAGCACTAGAAATAATATATTCTTTCTAATACTGTAAAGAATCTGATTATAATAATTTTATAGTCATTATGAAGATTGTAGCCAATTCCATAAGACCATTGGTATCTACCATGATTAATGTCAGTGAGTTCTTAGAGATTTCAAGAAGAGATAAGAAACTATTCTTAACAGATATTTAGAAGACAAGACTTTAAGGCCATTCCAAATGCCACGTACTCTGGAAGGAGCTGCTGGCCATCCATCCCTGTGTCTGTAGTCAATGGTCAAACATGGCTCTAAGAATACAGCCATAAACAAGGCAAAATCCTGGGCCTAACCAAGTTTACCTTTTCATAATGAGACAGACAATAAATGAAGCAAACCAAGACTGTCTCAGGCAGTGGTAAATGCTACAAAAACACAGAGCAAACTAAGGGGATGAGGTGATTTTAAATAGGGTAGTCAGAGATGGACATCTGAGCAAAGACTTGCACGGTGAGGGGTCAGTCAAATGGGCAGAAGAAACAGCAAGTGTGAAGGCCATGAAGCAAAAACAAGCCCAGTGTGTTGGTGTGTTAGGATGGATAAACAACGAACGGATGAATTTCCATAGGACTGGAATCTCTGTTGGAGCATGATCTGTTTGTTATTATAATTCTTTGCGAACATGCCGATCTATGTCATCAGTTCCTTGAGGGGCGAGGATCATGTTTTATGTTTATTTGTAATCTGCACAAGTCACTCAATCAGCAGAAGATAATCAGCTGCAAGGACCTTTTGCCTCTCCTGACTATTAAAAATAAAAAGCCCAAAGGCATTCTCCGTTAGGAATAAACACCATCTACTGGAACATCCCTGAATAACTCCAGCCACACTTACCTCGCCCTTCCTTGAACTTATTATAAAGCATGTCCTATCTGCTCTGCAATTCCAGTAGTAGATTCTATTTCTTTTTAACTGTTCCCTAATTGTCTAATTCCAGTTTTATCTACTATCTCTATTATGCCTTTGAGAAACTTCCAAATTTTACTTCGTTGCAGTATGTCTCTTTCCTCTTCACACACACAACAGGAACCAAAAACCAGCTGAAGTATGTTTTCTTGTAAAGTTTTCCATCACCAGTTTAAGGTTAATTCTTACATATCTTAATCATTAAGCCACTTTTTCCCCTTCAGAGAGCTTATTTTAACATCTACAGTTAAAACCCACGATAGATGTGAAAATTGGCAGTAGCTAAATTTTGCTAAAAACGTTCAACATACTCTATTAAGTCAGGAAGGCCTTTGTAGATGTCTTCATCATTAATGCTTTCTTCTGTTGGGAAGGGCCTAGGAGAAGTGGAAAAAAAACATGGGTGAATAAGCAACAACCAGGCTGGGAATTTACCTCTCACTAACCAGGTAAGCTTATCTGTTGCCAAAATGGCCAGATCTGTCACCACGCCTGACAATGCCTAGGGCTTGCCCCAAAGTGCCTGCCTCAAACCTAGGGTTCCCCCAGGGAGGCTGCAACACCTACTACCCCAAATCATCTGAGGCAATTATAGCTGGTCACCACAGTCACACGTGCCCTGGGGACATCCTGATGTGCTTACCTGATCTCCCACCTGCCACACACCCGCAGGGTCACCTCACCCACTGCAGTGCCCCAACTCAGGGAACAAGCAGCCATGCATGTGCCCTTGCCCCCAGCACCCTCTCTTTTCAGCTCTGGGATCTGATAACAAATAATTTGGTACCAATCATCCTTCCCTGACTCGGTTCACTGGTACAGATGAAAATTATTAGAAGACAAAAACACTGTGCCCTATATATATGATTATTGACCCTGACATACTTTTCTACTGAGACTTTAAGGTATTCAAGTTGCATTTTTTATTTTCATTTATTAGACAAATGAGTCAACCAGACCTCAGGGACAAGGGGTGTTTGTCCCCTGTTCAAGAATATCAGTCTAGTCTATTTTCTATTCTAATTGTTTGGCTTTCCTATTTGCATCATGATATTATGTTCTTTTTTCATAACGCCAATATAATACCCTAAATTTATGCCTAACAAAATCACAGTACTTATACTGTCGCGCCAAAAGTTTTATCTTTTCAGGTAGCTAGCAAGTTATATGTTTCGTAAAAACAAGAGGATCCATCAAAGTAACAAATAAGCTTTAAATAATTACAAAATAGTTAAGACACTCAAGGAACCTATGTTTTTTCAAATGTGTGAGAAATGTAAAATCTCAAAATCACTTTTTACAAATTTAGGTACATTTTATTGTGCTTCTACATCAATATAAGTCCATTGTAGAAAAATTAGAAAACATAGAAAACAAAAATTGAAAAGGAAAAAAACCTTCTGACGTATACCCTTTCAGAATCAAAAATACATAGGCCGGGCACAGTGGCTCACGCCTGTAATCCTAGCACTGTGGGAGGCCGAGGCAGGAGGATCGCTTGAGCTCAGGAGTTCGAGACCAGCCTGAGCAAGAGCAAGACCCCGTCTCTACTACAAAAAATAGAAAGAAAGTATCTGGACAACTGAAAATATATAGAAAAAAAAAATTAGTCGGGCATGGTGGTGCATGCCTGTAGTCCCAGCTACAGCAGGAGGATCGCTCAAGCCCAGGAGTTTGAGGTTGCTGAGAGCTAGGCTGACGTCATGGTACTCACTCTAGCCAGGGCAACAGAGTGAGACTGTCTCAAAAAAAAAAAAAAAGAAAAAAAAATGCATAAAAGTTGGATCACGCTTTTCCAAAATCTGTTTACATATAACAACATAAAATATATATTGACACGGAAAGATATGCATGTATTAACAAGCAAATTAGGGGGAGTTGAACATTTATGCCGCCTCTGGACCACCTTTGTAGAAAGCTGCCAAATTCTTGGCCCATGTCTGGAAAAGGGTCTGCATTTGCAGGGTGTCCTCCCAGAGGTCACTGCGCTTTGGATGCAGGGTCAGGGCTGCCCGGCCAGTGCTCAGCGCTCCTGTGAGCCCTGCTTGGATCCCCCCTTAGAATGTGAATGCGAACTGCGGAGACAGACGGAAGCAGCAGAGGCAGAGACACAGCCTGCGGAGCTCCCTGATGGCTGCAGAATGGAATGTGGAGCCCTGAGGAAAAAAGGTAAAACACAAAACCCACTCTATTTCCGTGAGGCCTGGCTGTGCAGCTACAGAGACGGTTCTTCTTTATTTCCTGTTACCTGTAATCCATCTTTACCAACTGATCTTTGTGTAGGATCTGAGCCAGAAAAAGCCCAACACAACATGCACACCTCTGTTCCCATGTTTATCAACTGTGTAACACTCCATCGCCAGGAGACGGCACAATTTAATTTACTTCTAAGTTTTTAATTTATTACCGAATCTTCGATACACATCTGTGTACACATATTTTACCATTCTCTGATTATTTAACTCCTGAAAGTTGTGAGTTATTGTTACAGTCTACTCTATAGTAAATGAATACATTACAACATCTTTTAAAATATTTATTTACTTAAGCATTTGTGTTTGCCTTCACAAATCATATGCACAGAAATGGTGGAGGAATTAAAAAAAAATACCAGTGACCGTCACCAGTGAATGGAGAACGATGCTTAGCCCATGTGTCTTATTCAACTCTATGGATAAGTTCTAACTTTCTCAATTAATTTCAAATGTGTACGAGACACTTATATGTCAGGCACTCATCGTGAGTGAGACACGGTCCCCACATGGAAGGTGCTTTGCGAAACAGCAATAATCCAGTCACTGCCTTGAACTGAAGGGGGCACGTGAACCACGAAAAAAGAGCTTACCTGATTCCCGTGGCCAATGCGATAGGCGTGCGAGAAAGTCGCGATAACGTTTCTATAACCTGAGAAAATAGGAAAATGTTAAGTGGACATGTATTTCAGAAAAGATAAGTTTTTTTACCCAAAACAGTTTTCCAATGTAATATTAACAATAGCTGCCGAAACATAAATTTGCAGATGCCAAGGTGGTACAGATTGGGAAGAGCTATGATTGGAAAGTGTAAACACCTGGATTATAGTTCTGGCCCTTCCGTTATGACTTTAAACAGATCACTAACCCATCTGTGTTGCAGTTTCCTTACCAGTAAAACACAAGGTTAGCCTGGGTGACCCCAAATGTCTGGTATCTCT